CTTGTAGTAGCAGCTTACAGAGCAGCTTCCTTTCTTCTATAAATAGAAGAGATTTCAGTTCATCATGTACATCAGTTTGAGTTCGAATAATATATCAGTTTCTCTCTATACTTGTCTTTACTCTACGGTCTTTATATTATAACAAGTAGAAACAAGAAACGGACCTTTGCGTTGGAAAATGAGAATAGCTACCTTAGTTTACAGTAAATCACACTGTCAAGACTCAAGTGCAGTTCACGTCGAGAAGATATTTTCTTCTTATTATACTTTATTTAAAGTTTTACGAGGCCTTATATTCGTCACAACTGACATATTTCATATTTAGTAGTGCGTTTACAATTCATTTCTTATTTCAACACACTGGCGTAGCCACCCCTATGTCAAGATGGTCAAGACTCTTTGTAAAAAATTGCGCTCCGTATATAAGTTAAATATTACTCCATTCGATTCATAATAAGTGATCAATTTACCTTGGGCTCGCCCATTAAGAAAATACTAAATTCTAGATAAAAATAATTAGTGTGACTAAATTATTCTTAATTAAATATTGCAGTATAATTTAATGTGAGGAGTAAAAGACTTTTTAGGGATACGTACATAAGGGTAATTTTTAAAAAACAAATTAAATTTTTTCTTGATTATATGAATGGACACTTATATTTTGACCACCCTTAGCAAAGTTGAGTGAGGCAATCTAGCGGTTCAGAGTGTTCAAAGTGGCTTGTTGTTCATAGGTTCAAAATTTTGCACATTTTATTTGTCAAAACTAAACGGAGACCACCATGTGTGATCTATTTAATTCGTTTTCAATCTAAAAATTTTTCTAATAAAATAATTCTTAAACCTAAAACTTGTGCAAAAATAAACAACTAATCTTAAAAGTAATTTTTTTTAACTAAAAGTTATTTTTTAAAATAAATTTTATAATTTAAAAGCTAATCTTTGTAAAAATTTCTTCAACAAACGCTCTCTACAAACTAAAAATTTTTAATGTTGTTTTTTTTGTTTTTTTATTATTACAATTTCGATTTATAAAATTATTGTTCTATTAAGTTTTTTATTGTTTAGGTAAATATTACATGGTTTGATTTAAAAATTTTGATACACTATTTATCGACAAAAGAAATTATTGATTTGTCTAAAGTTTGAATATTTTTAACGAAATTTCTACGAGACGTCTGAATATAAAGGAATACTGACCTTTAATAGTTCGCTTGCAATTGCTTTCTTTTTAGTAGTTTCCATTTTGGAGTTCCTTTTCATTTCCCTTTTTTCAACTCAAATCATTACTAGTACTTCACATTCAGTCACAGCAATCACTTATTGACTACTACTATTTGGGGTTAAGCAACACTAGACTACAATACAAATTTGGGTAAGAAAATTAATCACTTTCTTTTTCTCTTTTCATGTTTATTATTCCATATTGATGGGATTTCACCAGCAGATTTTCACAAAAAGCAATGAGGGTCATTATTCTTTTTTTAATTTTTAAGCAGGTGTGAGATTTTGAGCTAAGATCATGCAACGTTGACTCGTTGACTTTAGCAGCTTTTTCAGATTCTTGAAAAGATTTATTATGCTTTTTCTTCTGGTATTTGCCCTGTTTAGGGAAAGTGGGTAGCTTAAAGATAGATTCTTGATGCTGTTAATAAGAAAAGGGTGCTGAAAAACAGTGAAATTTTCAATTCTCTCATTCTCAACTACTCAGTTCAAGCATATTTTCTGAGGCTGTGGGCTAAGAACACATAGCGTTGACTTATTGACTTTAGCAATTTTGCCTGATTTCTTGAGGTATTTGCTCTGTTTGGGGAAGTGGGTAGTTAAAAGATTGAATTTTTGGTGTTGTTATTTAGAAGAGGTGCTGAAAATCAGTGAAATTTCCAATTCTCTCATTCTCAACTCTTCAGTTCAAGCATGTTTTCTGAGATTATGGGCTAAGGTCACATAGCGTTGACTAGTTGACTTTAGCAATTTTGCCTGATTTCTTGAGGTATTTGCTCTGTTTGGGGACGTGGGTAGTTGAAAGATTGAATTTTTGGTGTTGTTATTTAGAAGAGGTGCTGAAAATCAGTGAAATTTCCAATTCTCTCATTCTCAACTCTTCAGTTCAAGCATGTTTTCTGAGATTATGGGCTAAGGTCACATAGCGTTGACTAATTGACTTTAGCAATTTTGCCTGATTTCTTGAGGTATTTTCTCTGTCTGGGGAAGTGGGTAGCTCAAAGATTGAATTTTTGGTGTTGTTAATAAGAAAGGGGTGCTGAAAATCAGTGATATTTCCAATTGTCTCATTCAGTTCAAGCATATTTTCTGAGATTATGGGCTAAGATCACATAGCGTTGACTTTTTGACTTCAACCAATTTTTTGCCTTATTTCTTGAGGTATTTGCTCTCTTTGGGGAAGTGGGTAGCTAAAAGATTGAATTTTTGGTGTTATTAAGAAGAAGGGGAGCTGCTTTTTGAGTAAGTTGTGAAAGCTATACATTGGGAATCTGATAAAAGGTTGAATTTTTAGCCTATCCCTTGTCCATTGGAGCTGATATGTTTCTGTTTTATCTTAAAACTTTACTTTGAATGATGATTTTGGAATAGATTTAACTATTTGGCGGACTGATTCTTTTGGATTCAAAGATTTGGAGTCTGAAATCATTAAATGTTTGATTATGGCTGGGCTTATTAGTTATATTCTTGCTCTCTCAGGGATGAATTTTTGCTAGTAAATTACCAAGATTAAGTTGGACTAAATGGAGAGCGGAAACGAGCTTTCGTCATCCTTGAGTTTTGCTTCATCTTCTTATGTATCGAACGGTTGCAGTAGCCCCCAAGAACCAGGACCAAATCTTGATCTTTTGAGTAATCTAAGTGGCAGTCTTGAGAAACTCCTGCTTAATCCTGAATATGACTACAGCGATGCAGAAGTAGTCGTTGAGGGGATTAGTGTTGGCGTTAATCGCTGTATCTTAGCTGCACGAAGTCAGTTTTTCCACGAAACGTTTAAGAAGCACAATGAGAATACCTCAAAAGATGAAAAGCCTAAGTATTTGCTTAAGGATTTGGTGCCTTTTGCCTCAATTGGCTATGAAGTATTCTCGGTCTTCCTGAATTATTTGTATACCGGAAAGATTAAACCTTCTCCTCCAGAAGTTTCAACTTGTGTTGATAATGTGTGCGCTCATGATGCTTGTCGCCCTGCCATTAATTATTTCATGGAACTCATGTATGCTTCATCCACCTTTCAAATCAACGAACTCATTATGGTTGTAGAGGTCAGTGTTTTCTGTGTTGGTTAAATTCTATTAGTAACAAATACCAAATGCATTTGGCTCTCATTCTTGAAGTATCATACAGTCAGACCTCTCTATAACAACATTCTTATATAATAACCATTCACTATAAAAGCCAAAAAAAAGGTCAGAACAAACGACGTTGTTATAGAGAGGTTTGACTGTATAACAATCCTTGTGATATAGTTTGTTAAGCATACTGAATATAAATCAAATGCTTGAGTTAGACACAATTTCTTGACATTCTTTCATGTTTGTCTCGTATAAGGATTTCTGTTAAAAATGCTGATGACCTAGGGTCTGATTAATAAATAGGAGTATGAGGTGTATGATTTTGAATGCTTGTAGTTAGGGTCTGATTAATAAGTAAGATGTGACAGCTAGTACGAGGTTTATGATTTTAGTGCTTTGCCGCGAAGACGAGTCTCAAGATCTTAGTGGAGTCCCGAGTTATTCTTGTACTATACATGATTCTTGATAATACAATAAAGAAAGGCCTAGCTATTGAATTATGGTTGCAATATACTAGATAAGAAATCACAGAAGCTTTCTATTGCTTTCTAACTTTGTAGTTACATTGTTTTTCATCTGAAGAATATTCTGTTCGTCTGCAGCGCCGTCTTGTCAACTTCATCGATAAGGCTACTCCAGAGGATGTAATTCCCATACTTTTAGTTGCCTTTCACTGCTCATCTAACCAGCTTCTTGAGCACTGCATCCAGAGAGTGACACGATCCGATCTAGACAATGCTACTCTTGAGAAAGAACTCCCTCATGAAGTTTTGACTGACATAAAAACAAGGCGCCTCAAGTCTCGACAAGAACTTGAACATGATTCGATAGAAGTGGACTCCTTGAGTGAAAAGAGAATTAGGAGGATTCTGAAGGCTCTGGAATCCGACGACATTGAATTGCTTAAGTTACTTCTTGAAGAGTCTAATGTCACTTTAGACGATGCTTGTGCTCTTCATTACGCAGCTGCCTATTGTAACTCCAAGGTTGTGAATGAGGTCCTCGAGCTGGATTTAGCTGATGTCAATCTTCAGAATTCCCGAGGATATAACGTCCTTCACATTGCTGCTAGACGAAAGGAGCCATCAATAATAATGGGACTACTCGAAAAAGGAGCATCTGTCTTGAATACTACACGGGATGGAAACACAGCACTATCAATCTGTCGGAGATTGACTCGGCCAAAGGATTATAATGAGCCAACGAAGCAAGGGAAAGAAACTAATAAGGACCGCATATGCATTGATATTTTGGAGAGAGAGACGATTAGGAATCCTATGGTTGGGATCATGTCTTCGTCATCATTGGTGTTGGCTGATGAATTACTCATGAGGTTGCTTTTATTTGAAAATAGAGGTAACTTAGTTAAATTACACTGATGTGATCTCTACGAGTGATTGAATATTTACATTTATACACTTATCAAGAAGCTTTCTCGCTAATTCTGTCCTTCGACTGAAGTTTTATCTATCAAAAGAACACTCGCTATATACAATTATGGTGTAATAAGAATGTTAAGTCTTTGGTGTAATTTAATGTCTGCACCATTCTTTTCCTCACTTATATTACCAGAATGTACCTAATTTTTATTTTCTTGCAGTGGCATTGGCGCGAATGTTATTTCCTCATGAAGCCAAGCTAGCTATGGAAAAAGCACATGCTAATTCGACGTTGGAGTTTACTGGAATTTCAGCAACAAATGGCTTATCTAGAAATCTGAGAGGGGTTGACTTGAATGAATTACCATCTGAGCAAGTGAAAAGACTCCAAGAACGGCTGTGCGCACTGCAAAAAACAGGTAATAGTAACTCTATGTCATTCTTTGTACCTTATTGAAAAAAAAGAGGGAGAATTCCTAAAGAAGGATTAAACTTTTGAAATTTCAAAGATAGTCATTGGACCATGAAACATATTCTTACATGTTTATAGTTCACACCAATCTTTGTTTATAGTAGGAGTGGTGCTTTATCCATGATTAGTCTTTCTCAATATTGTGTTTTTTAACCCAAACTGCAGTGGAGACAGGTCAACGTTTCTTCCCTAATTGCTCCGAGGTTTTAGATAGATTACTAGAGGACGACTTGCTAGATTCCTTAACGTTGGAAAGAGGCACCGCTGAAGAACAAAGATTAAAGAAGATGCGATACACAGAACTCAAGGATGATGTTATGAAGGCATTCAACAAAGACAAAGCTGAAAAGTATTGGGAAGGCTTCTCTGCATCTTCCTCCTCCTCATCGTCCCCAAAGACTAGAGTTAGCCACAAGATTAGGAAGAAGTAGGTCCTCTCCTTAGCTACATTGCTAGCTTTGAACATCGGTCATGAGCTTTACATGATTGAGCTCCATATAGTATAGTACTAATCTGCTTGTTCTTCCTGTTTTTGGTTCTTACTTTTGGTAGCTTGTTTAAGGGCAGCCCGATGCACTAAACTCACGTGATGCGCGGGGTTCTAAAAAGGGCCGGACCACAAGGGTCTATTGCACGCAGCCTTACCCTACATTTCTGCAAGAGGCTGTTTCTACGGTTCGTACCTGTGGCCTCCTAGTCACATGACAACAACATTACTAGTTACGCCAAGGCTCCCCTTCTTTTGGTATCTTTTACAATTGTTTGTAAAGAAGAAATTGTATAAGTAACATCTGCATACAATTTAGGTAATCACATTGTAGTAAGGTATAATGGTATATAGGGGAGGGGATTGATTGTGGGGGTGGGAGAAAGAGGAATAAAAGTAGGTAAAGGAATTATTTTTGTTTCTTGTTTTCCTATGTAACATCTTGTGAGTTGGCAAATTGTTTAGTTTATGGTGATATATACTAAAAAGAGATCTTTAGTTTAGAGCATGTATTCTCCAGAAATTTACTTATTTCAAGACTTTGCTTTCTGAAGACCCCTGCATATATATTCCAGAAAATTAGATACTTATACCTCTCTAAATAATCGTTTTCGAATGGTAGAGGGGTATTTTTTTGCTCTTTTCCTTATTTCTTTCATAGACATGGTGTTAAATCACATCAGCAGAAACTTGTTGGTTACTGAGAAATCCCAGTGAAATCCCACGAGTAGAGTCTGGGGAGGGTAGTGTGTACGCACCCTTACGTCTAACTTTATGAAAGTAAAGATATTGTTTTCGATAGACACTATATGTCACACCTTTTTACACTACACCCGCGAGAAGGGAGTATATAAGGGAGTTTTTTTCAATTAAAGTGACAATCGAAACAAGATTCATTTATTTAAAAATTCAGAGTCGTCACTTGGGAATATTTTATGGTGTCCCAAGTCACCGGTTCAAATCCCGAATCGAGGAAAAGATTGACTCTGTTTTACAGTCCGCGAACACAGAAATCCGAGTAAGGAATTCTGTTAACCCGGAAGAAGGTGTTAGGCATTCCCGAGTTCCGTGGTTCTAGCACGGTCGCTCAACTGTTATGTTCGGCTTAATTATCTGATTTTAATATATTTTTGAACCTATGTGCAAATTTTAAATTTTTAAACCGCTTTTATAAAAATTATTAAAGAAAATTGAACGTCGTTTAAAACATGTTTTTTTAGATCACGTCACATGAAATGCACCCGCAATCCTGAACACATTTGACTCGACGTTTTGGGATTTGGATTTGGGTCGCATGAAATGCACACCCGAGTTTAAGAAAGTAAATTATTAAAAGCGCGCCTAAAAGTGACTAGCGTATTATTATTTTGGGGAAGACCGTGAAATTTGCTAGACGGCTCATCCCGAATTCTAAGTATTTTTAATATATATGCATTTATGAGGGCCCCGCGGCTTGTGCGTTTTATTTGGCGAGGCTCGTCTCGTTTATTTTAAAAGGATAATCCTAAAATGACTACATTTTTTCTATTTTTTGTTCGTCTCTAAAAATGAAAGAAGAAAAAGTCCTAATTAAATTACATGCTTGGCAAGTTCGGGCCTCTTATTAATTATTAGATTACAAAAGATGCTAAAGGAAAATTGCACTCGAACTCATAAAAAATGGAAAATTATTTTGTGCCTTATTCTATAAGCGAATATCGCTAAAATTGAAATTATATATATAAAAAAAGCATACGAGATTGCAAGTTTGGTTCTAGTGACTCGTAACGCCAATTACTGAAGTTACCAATGTCTGCTCTAAAATAATGAACTCAAAGGCATATTAATTTTGACAATTGAAACCTACTCTACTGATATTCAACTATTGCATTTACTAAGGAGGCATGAACTTACTAATTTCAATCTAACAACATGCTTAAACTGTTCCTAATTTTTAACTTCAAACAGAAAAATGCTATCATACAAACAAAACTAACTACAGCTATAAATACCACATAATAGTTCATTATAACTATAATTTCAATTAATCCAAATCAACTGAAAACAGTCCAGCTATACAAAGCAGCAGAAATCTGCATAACAGTAGTATACAAAATGTTCTAACTACAATCAGTAAAAAAAAGAAAAAGCTGAATCAAACTTCAGACTTCCATTTTTATATATATTCATGCTTCCACATATTTCAGCTTACAATAGCCAGTGTTACAGTCGTGTACCTGGTATCGGAAATAAAAGAAGATGAAGATGAGAAACAGCAGATGCAGTAGCAACACAGCAACAACAACAAACAGCAACAAACCAATAACAGATTAAAACCAGCAAAATCCCAGCAATAACTAATGGAACAGTAACGAGAAACCCATAACAAACTCAGAAAAACCAGTTGACAACCCCAGCAATACCCAAACTGAACCAGAGAACTCCCAGAAATAAACAGAGGGCAGAAATCAACTCAGAAATGCAATGAAACAGTACTTTCTGATTCTCTATTCTTTAACTCTCAAAGAAGAACACTTTCAAGAAACTCTACTCTTTTAACTAATTTTCAGCAATCAAAGAAGACTAGACTTCCTTACTCTCAATATTGAATTCTTAGTATTGAAATCCAGCATATTTTCACTCTCTAACTAACTGAACTTTGTGTTAGAATCTAGTCACTTTCACTCTCAAACTAAACTGACTTCTTCAACATTAAAAGGCAACCTATTTTTATATATTTCTAATTCTGAATTTCTGATCTCCAAAATTCCCCCCTTAATCAGTCCAAATGCCTTCCATTTATAGCCATTACAGACCTGCCCCCTCTTTAAACTTAACTACCCGACCCCCCAACAACCAAAATCTGCATATTTCCACTTAAAACCCACTAAGGAATGCTTTTCCTTATTTTCCGCCCCAATTCCCTCTTGTTCCCCATTAACTTATTAATTTAAAGACATTTAATACCCCACTAACAAGACACTAACATAAAATATTATCCTAACTGTTCCATTCCCAAATCACCCCTGAAACCCCTTAATATTACTGCCCTAATACAATCTATTCATCTGCATTAAAACCTTTAACTCTAAAATCTGTTCAAGCTAACAATTATCTAAAACTAATTCTGATTAACAGCTATAACCAATCCTCCTGACAACTGAATGACTAAGGTTGAATTCCAATTGAAACAAATGAACTGAATTTAAATCAAAACCAAACTAACACAACACAGAACTTAACAGAATCATTAAAGCTGAAGCTGAAACTGAATCAAAATCGCATGAATGTAGGGATTAAACTAACACAATTCTAAGTCAAACCTATACAAGAATGCAGGATAATTGTCAGTATATTGACAATACCCTGAAGCTAATTGCCTAAAGATCAGTACATACAACATTCGACCTCAAATCATTTGACGAAAACTACTAATAAAACTGAATTAATCAACGATAACTAATTAATCGATTGCCTATAACAATTGACAACAATCAATCAGAAATAGATAATCAGGCAATTCAAACGACATTGAAAAAAACAGGGATTTATAATAAGACTTAACTAATCGACGAAACTTATTCAAATCGATTACATAGCCTATAATTATACACAACAACGAGCAGAAATAAATTCGACCAAATAAAAGGTCTGAGGGAGAAGAACAGAACAATCGACAAAAAAATGAAAAAATAATATAACAATACTAAACAAAATAAACAGACATTAATATCAAAAATAGAATAGAAGGGAAAAAAGAAAAAAATACCTTTTAAAAAAAGAACAGAAAACAGACGGGCTTGACCAACTCGGACTCGAACTTTTTTTGAGGTCAAACGGACCTTAATCGAGTGTTCTCGATTGAGAACACTGGACTAAGGTTAGTTAGGAACCCCAAATTCCCGTTAATTTCGGAGAAATCCCAACTTGATCTTTGTTTAGGGTTCCTGGTTCGATTTGGGATTCGAACCGTTCTAGCACGATTCGAACCAAACCAATGGTGGTTTATAGGTAAGGGAAGTCAGGTTGATATCTGGTGTGAGTTTGGGGTGGATTGGTTTTGATTCATGGTTTGCTCGAATCTTCAATTGAAGATTCGAGAAGCTGGGGGATGATTTGAAGCAAATGGTTAACGGATTCGGGTTGGGGGTGTTTAGGTGCTCTAGGGGTGTTAGTTTGGTGACCGGCGGCGTTGTTGCCGCCGGATTTTAGGCGAAGGTGTGAGAGGGCGGCTAGGGTTTGGGCTATGGTGAGGCTCCGTCTCTGAGAGAGACGATGAACAGGGGGGTCTGGTTTGGGGGGGCTGGGTAGAGATTAAGGTTAAATAGGGAGGGGTGGTTTAATCTTGGCCGTTGGATCAAGCACGATCAACGATCTGGATTAATTCACTTAAAGGAAACGGTGACGTTTGGTCATGCATCGAGACTGGTTCGACCCGGGTTGAAATGGACCGGGTTATGAGGGAAGGCTGGGACCGTTAGATCACTGGGAACGGACGACTCGGATCAACTCGCCTAAAACGGCATCGTTTCAAATAATGCTGGGTTGAACTGAGCCGTCTAATGGAAACAAATCAACAACTTAGATCTGAGGCGCTGAAACGAAGTCGTTTGGACTGTCTGAGAGACTAGGCTTATTGGATTGGATCGTTTGATATGATTTGGGCCTGATTTTGCATTGAAATTGGCCCAATTCCGATTTGGTCCAATTTTTCACTCCTTTCTTTTTTTCCTTTTATTTTCTTTTAATTCCTAAAAATCAAAATTCCTAAATTAAATTGTAAAAATAAGATTATTTTAAAAGATATTAATTAACCATTAACAATAATTAACACACAATCAAATATTGATTAAAATAAAATCACACAATTAAACAATAAAAATGATAAAGCTACCAAAATTCATATTTTTATGATTTTCATTCTTTTAAAATAGGACATGGTTTAATTAATTTAAAAATGCACAATTAAATTCTAAATGTGCATGCAACATGTATTTTGGTATTTTTCAATTAATTAAAACAAGATAAACATTCACAGACAAAAATAATTATCCAAAATGTCACGCAAAAATTCTCAAAATTGTACCCAAAGGCAATTTGTTTTATTTTTCGATTTTTTTTTTTGCATTACATAGTAAAACTGAATTCATGATTTTTTTGGAGTAGTTTTTGTGAAGCAAAAATCACGTGCTCACAGCTGCCCCTCTTTGTCCGGAAACACGAAGGGTTTTCGTGCAAAGATAAAGTGAGCGGATACGAGCGATTTTTTTCCCGTTTGAGTACTCCGTGTGAAGCATTTTTTGAAAGAGTTGACCAAACCTCTGCTTCGAAGGTTTCCTACATATCCCTGGCTAAAAGGGAATCAGGTCAATGTAGTTCGGAAAGTTTGGTGGCTGGGACTACCATGGGACTGTAATTTTGCTGCTACTGCTGTTACATGCTGCTGCTACTGCTTACCGACCT